TGCTTGTACTAACAAATTCCATTCTAAACTTACAAAGGCTAATCCTTTTCTTCCCACCGTCGATTATGTGCTGCCTGATTTCAGTGTACAAACTCCCCTGCAAGAAAAAGTTGGTGTATCAAATATGCCATCTGTGATTCGTCCAAAATTGGAGGAATTGAGGTTAGTGCACCCATGTATGGATCTTTAATCGCTGTTCCAGATGAGTGAAAATCAATATTTTTTGCAGAAAAAATAATTTCCGCGCAGCACGTGGCGACGAACTCGCATTTTCTGTAGACGGGTCCCCGATAGTCGTCCTGCCATCAACTGAAGTAGATCCTGAAACTCGCGTTTTCAAACAGGTTATCACAGACATCGTTTCTTGTTTGTTTTTGACTCTTTGATTGCGACATTTTTCTACCGAATCCATTGAACCTATTCCTTTCAGATAATGGAAGAAGATGGGGAAGGATTTTCACCAAATTCTCGCGAAGTTTTTTCCACTTTCAAAAACTTGTTGCGTCAAAAAATTGCAGCGAACGCTGTGTCACAAGAACTGGATTAAATGGGGCTGCTGCGCATCTTAACTATTTTTCTTTTGTAGGAAGCAAATTCTTTTAATTCAAACACTTCCTTCCAATTTCTCGCTATGTAGCTCTTAAGAATCTAATCTCTTCATTGTTGTGTTTTGTATCGTTTGAATCTGCCTGACACTAAAATATAGTACCTGATGTATCTAGCTGTGCTTTGGGCAGTCGTACGCGCTGCTAGACTTCAGCGACATGAACCATTTTTTGATAGAACACTCGTGCGCAAATTCAAACAGTTTCTATCTATGCCAGCTTATTTCCATGATGTTTAGGACGCCTGTTCTATATACCTTATAAGTAAATGTGTCGCTAGTCTAATTAGCCAGAAGTTTTTAGATGGCTTAAGTCACATCTTGCAAGCTTTCTACATGGAAGTTCGTCCGGTACTATTCCCCTTCCGAACTCACTCTAAAATACAAAAATTGCAGTTCTCACCTCTGAATAATTACTTGCTCTTTTTATGAATCAATGTATGTTTGTTGTGCGTTCATAAGCAAAAAGGAATGTTTTCTTTAAAGGAATTCTTCGGAAGGAAGGCTTCCGTGAACCGCTATAATTTTTAATAAGATTAAAACGCGGAAGTTCTTCTTAAGATTGGCAAAGTCAAGATCCAGGCACCTTCTGATACTCAAGAAATTCGATAAGAAAGATGTAAATGTTTCGCTTACCTCATATCGTTTGTCCCGTACTGTAACATTGAATTGGTGTTTCACGTATATCGCCTACCGTAGCGTTGCGAAATATCTCACTTTTGTTTTTTTTTTCCTTCTCTCTGACCCTATTCAATGTTTTTTTAGGAAGTCAGCTTGTATGATGGAACTTTTTCCGTGTTTTTTACTGTTTTGCTCGGAGTAATACAATCCAGTAATCATAGATATGCTTTAATATTGAAATAAAAATTAACTTATTTTTAGTATTATTCAATGATATGTTTAAAAACTCCCGTAATTTTATTCCTTTTTCCTACTACTTTCAATTTGAATGAAGTTTCCCATCTATCGCTATTTGGCTTACTGATGCGTTTTTGGACGCTGGGAAGTATCGATTCTTGTGCGTTTGCGCTTTTGCTCGGCTGTTCCCCTACCTCTACTTGTTATTTCGGGAATCGATAACTCCATTTTTCCTATCATTTTCGCCGTTATTTTCTTATCAAGAGGCAATTGTCAACTCTGCAGGAATAGAAATGGCTGACAGCGAACAGAAAGCTCGACGAAAGCTTGAGGAAGCCGAGAAGAAATGTCGTGGAGGTGGTGGATTTCTGGGTAAATTATTTGGAGGAAGTGGAGCTGACGATGCCGCTGATCTTTTTATCCAGGTTCGCAACGTATTATTTCTTTCCTACCAACATGGAGAATTGGGTATCACTAACACGATTCATGAAAGTTATTAGGGAAATATCTTGTTTGCACTTGTTTTTGGTTTTCGCCCCAAATTGTTCGTCAGTGGTCAGCGGTATTGTCTCAAATGGTTTCACCATTGACTCCTCTTTTTGCCGTTATTTTATGGTTGAGTCAACATCCCTTTTTGCATCGTATATCTGCGTTTTACTACCATGACATATTAATGTTTCGCAAGATGTTGTTCAGTAATCTATTGTTTTCAGCGAGTCTTTTTGACATATCCAACAGACTTAGCATATAGTACTATCACACCTTCTGGTTTCTCAAATTCCACAAGATTCGGCTGCTTCTCAGTTTTCTTCTCGCAAAATGACTCACAATTTCTTCTGAAAAAAATTCTCAAACTCATATTTGTTTTGCTGTTTTGCTACTGTTTTTCAAAACATGTAAGCTTTCAAAAACATTACTTCCAGGTATGCTCAGGTAGTTTGACTTTAGGGGATATAAGATTTTGGATAATATAAGTTTGGTTCTTCTTCGTTTTTTACATGAGTTCTTTGAAGAGCAACATCGTTTCTTCTGCTGGACCGGAAGCTAGATCTGTAGCGGTCGGTACTTCGAACACAGAAGTGGACAACAACTCGAGCGAGAGTGACTCCCATTCAATAGAATGCGATCTTTGCTCCAGAGACTTTCCGAATCTTGTCGAGTTTGAATCTCACTATAAGGAGGCGCACTCGCATCAGTGCACTGCATGTGCAAGGATGTTCATCAGCAAAAAAGCTTTGGATATTCACAGCGATGAAACTCATTGCCCTTTTCATAGCTTATCCGTTGAGAGGGATCCCAGTGGATATCATTTTAAATGCTATGAACAAAACTGTGACGAGGCCTTTACGAGTGCCATCGAACGAGATCAACATTGTCACAAACTTCATAATATTAGCAATGTTGAAGTGACTATTGAAAAGCGAAAACTCGCTAGAAGAGTGAATGACTTGCAGTTTTCGTTCAAAACAATGAAAGTTTCCAAAAAGAAGAAAGTCCCCCATTCGATCAGGTTTGGGAATCAAGTGAAATCATTCGCGGGTTTTCAAAGCACAGTCGCTATCAGGAGCAGGAAATTTGATGCTGATATATCGCAAAAATAAAGAACTGCTTATATTCCGCTGTATTTTCATTTTCGACGGTTTTCACCATGCAAACTACTTTTTTACTCCTCAGGCTGGAAATCTGTTCAAAATGTCTAAGTTGTGGAAGGAAGCGGGAGATGCTTTTGTTAGGGCTGCCGAACTTCATGGATCGAAGGCATGTTGATCATTCGAGTGCTCTACTTCTTCGGAAATTTTAGGTTTTTAGGGTGATTCTAAACATGACTGTGCCAGCCAGTATGCCGAAGCTGCAAACTGTTA